GAATGCCTGGGCACAGATGGATAGAATTTATATGCAGGAAATAGCCTGTAATGCTGTTGACTGGATTCATCTGATCCAGAATAGGGACCAAGACAAGGGTATATATATAATTTTTCTTTTGTTAAGACGATAATAAACGTTAAGATTACATAAATGTCGGGAAATAGCCTGTCTAGCTGAGCGGCTATCAGCGTCTCAACGAGAGCTCTGTTCCGAGGATTTGGTAATGATAAATTTTAAATAAATATATTCTTTATAAGTCTCTGCTAGATGAGAGTGTTTTGCTTTCTTTAGATATGAATAGCTTTCTGAAAACATTAACTTTGAGCCACATCTCTTTACAAGATCATGGCTATTTCAACTAAATTTTAATTAGAAATCTGTGCATAAATTTGTTAGTGTAGGTGAAAATTTCACTGAATTTATAAATGTGAGGGAATTCATTAATGACTTGATATAATCTACATAATAATCGTTTTTTATTGTTTTGGTTGTAAATGTTCAATGAGCTATCATTTCTGCGTTTGAACCCATTTGTTTCTTTTATTAAAACTGATTTTTCGTTACACGTGTCCCTTTTATAATGATTAATAACTTTCTTAGGAACTTCAGTTCAAAAAAGTACCATTTCTTAACTCTAATTTTTCAAACATTATTTTTTTCTCTTTCTTATTTAATAAAGAGCTCTGATCACTCTTATGAGAAATTTTAAAGTTTTATATACTTTATTATATTTTAGAGATGCCTGTTGTATGTCAATATTTTGCGCGCCAGCCAGCAAGAAGATGACTTTTTAAATCTTAATTTAAAAAAATTCTCGTGATTTATTATTTCTCCTCTGCAAAGTTACAGAACATGGAAAAAAGAATTAGATGTAACATAGCATTTCTCTGTGTTCTCGTGGGAAAATCGTTTTTTTTTCCCGTTTAAAAATGACCATGCTGCTATTGGTCGTATATATTCGGCGCCACGCCTCCCGCATCAGAGAACCGAACGGATTCGAAGAGTAATTATCATTCACATATATGTGGGTCCTTTTGTTTCTTAAATGTTGGTGTTTCTGTCGTGCAAAATGGGCTTAAGAGACGGCCACAAATATCGGTAGAGAAGAATGAAGTGGGGACTTGTAGGTGTTAAATAGGCTGTGTAAGGCAGATAATATTTAAATGAGTTGAACGTCTTCAGTAATTAAAGGACATTTAACATAATCATGAAGCCTCGAATATTCTAACATGCATAGTTGCCTTTTTGTGCATCGTGTAAAATTACAGTGGATAACAAGTTTGAATGTCTTCTTAACGCAGACAAAATAACATCTTTCTGTCTATATGAAATAACCTTATCTCAAGAAATCTATTAAAATCATGTGTTATTATTTACAGTAAATTTAAAATTATTGTGAAAAATGTATAAAAATTGACATAAAATGTAATTGCGTAAAAATGATTATTATTTACTCATTATATAGAAGTGTATCTATAAGTAGTGTTTAGTTATCAATACCATCATCTAGCAGTCAAATAGTTAAACCATGTGTTGACGTGTTCCAGTTTCACTCATCTAAATTATTTTTAATGGTCTTTTGTGCTTCTTTAATTCACGTGGTCTGTAATTTTTTACAGGTTTGGAAGTGTGTTTCTTTGTCACATGTTGAAGTCAGTTGTCTTCATAGAAAATTGTTTAATGCTATTTCGGCTTCTAGTTATTTCAAGATATCTTTATTCATCTTATATCTCATAAAATGTAATTTGTTGTTCTCCTGAATTTTAATTTACCGGCTTCATTTCTGTTTTTGTGTTTTGCTCTCATTGTCAAATTTTTACTCATATGTAAAAGTCAAGTAGTGTAGCAAATACTTAAACTATATACTGTCGATAAATAAAAAATAAATAAAATATATTGCTATAATTCTTCACTGAACATACATTTTAGATCCAGTATTTCTGTATATGAGGATACAAACATAAGTTACACACCGTGGCTTGATCCCACTTTCCTTCGTAGCGTTGTATTATTCTTGGTTATATCTGTTCGTCAGTAACGACACCGACGTTTCCAGGCAAAGTCTAGATGCCAGTGCGAAATGTAAATTTTCACACTTGTGACATCCTAATATGTGTTTCATGGTTACTTACGTATCGGTTTTCAAAAAAATCTTGAAATTTTCTTCATCTTTTTACTTCAAAACCGTTGAAAAAATCCATGATATTGATTCATGTAAAATGTCCATTTAAGGGATAACCATTGTTCACTTGTCGTCGTTACTAATTGGTTTCATTTCCGTTGAACTCCAGTACGTTCCTTAACAGGTTTTATATGATTTCATTTTATGATTTTGCCAGAGGAATACAGATTTCTTGTGTTGGTAATTCATTTTAACACTAATAGGTTCCGGACGTGTAAATTTAAGAATATGACTGTCTTGTCATCTAGGACGTTGCGCCATGTAGTCTGGTAGAGTTTGACCGACGTGTCAGAGGTGCTTCATCGCCCTTATGATAGACAATACCTCTGAACCTCAGTTAAACTCTACCAGTGCAAAATACTAGAAGACAGCCATCTTCATATTTGCCATCGTGAGAACCTAAAATCTCACCACAAAAATATTTATTTTCTGAATATTAGCTCTTAAAGTTATTTTAATACTTGAGGAAGTCAAAGAATTATCAAAATATTTAAACGCAGTGTTTGAATTACGTAGTTACCTGCTTCCATTATGAAGTTGCTGGCACGTGGCTCAGGTATCATAGCATATCCGGACCTACCTGTTCTGTCCTCAGAATCTTGCAGAGCAACACATTACGGGACCCCAAAACTTCTATCGTGCCATCCCAACAAAGAAAAGGCGAAGAGGTCCAAACCGGCTTATGGCAATCTAGCACAATGTACACGCGCGTGCATTTCCTTTAAAAATCTTCCATGCTTCTACTGAGGATTACGCTCGGTTCGTCTACCGTCTAGTTGAGCACCAATTTACAGGACACATTCGTGTCTCTTATTCGCTAGGTGCAAGAACCAATTCAGGCAGGAACGACATAACTTTTAGGTTCATAATTTTATGAGATCTGGAGTTGAATACGTGGCTGTTATTTATCTTGGTTTTAACGTCGCGTGAGCTTTGAAGGATGTAGTTATCATGTTTTCTGAGGAACATACTGCTTCTATCTTCAAAATAAGCAGGTGTCACAGTCCAGAGAATGAAAACCGACATCAAGATTATGTTGCTAAGATGTGTTTTCTAAATGTTGCTTAACACCCTTAGTTTTGAAGGTTCAACCGATCTGGATGGACATACAGAACTCGCTTAACAGCCGAATTTTTAATGGACTTCGAGTAAATCTGCCTTGTGAGAACCACAGGTCTATTTCGGTAATTTATTTTAGATAACAACAGAAGAATTTAGAGATTTTTAAGGTTATTTTGTGTTAGGTGACCTCGTTTCATGTCGTTTTCATACATTTTGGTTCAATTATTAATGTATCAGTACATACTGAGCACACGGTCCATTTATTGTTACAAAAGGTACGAACGTCGCTGCCCAGTGTTTATAACTTTAGTTCCGTGTTTGGGATTTTCCGGTTTAAAATCTCAGCCCCGAAACCGGCTACAGTGAAAGAGATTTCTATGGTTTTCCTTAGTCCGTTTAGGCAAATTCCGGATTAATGCATTCATTTAGGCCACGACCACTTGCTTCCAAATCCTTTCCAATTTATTATGTATTAATCATGCATCGTGGCTAGTTTTGGATGATGACAGAATCTTTAAATAAACGACAAATAAATACAGAACAAATTATACTAATTTTATTCGTTAGTTTAAAAACTGTTGTCGACTTCTAAAAACACTACTTGACAAGAAATACAAAATAATTTTGCCGATATCGTAGTTTGATCTGACTACATAAATTACTGTTCTTTGAAATCAAATAGAAGTTTACGTCCTTAAGAAATATGAAACATTCTAATCGAGATATTTGAGGAACTCTATAACGTGTTTCAATCATGAACAGCTAACTCGTTGTGGTAGTGAAATCATGAAAACTATTATGGCGTTGAAGATGACTGCCTTCTGGGACGTTTCTCCATGCTGTATGTTAGAAGCTAATCGACGCTTCAGGGGTGATTAATGCATCCAACATCAGACTGATCACGGTGACGTCGGTAAACTTCTACCAGACTGTACGGCGCGACGTCCCAGAAGACAGCTTTATGCTCGTCGCCTTGAGAACCTGATATTGAACCTATGACGGGGGGACAAGAATTGAACATAAAATTTGGTCTTGACAGACGATAAGTTGGAAAAGAATATGAGAGGATAACATCAAGATTTCGGAAACAGGGGGTTCAAGAAGTCGTTTATGAGGATCGTGTCCATTGTGGGAGATTTTTATCAGCGGTGTTCTGCTGAAAGTTCTTGCTGAAGTTAATCTGTTCCTCGTTACTAAATTATTCAATTTACGAATTTAAGAAATGAGCTTAATTTTTACATCCGTAAGAAACAACAGGTTTTTCTTATTTAAGAATGAATGTAGACATTAAATACAAATAAATAAAATTGATTAGATGATAAGTCCTTAAGTTCATTCCGATATATATGTATTTAAATAAGCTTTATTTATGCTGTAAATTCATTTTACGGCAAAAGTATCCATGATTTTTCAGATGGGTTTAAAAATTAAACAAACAGAATTTTATAGTATTACATACATTAAAAATTGGCCATGATGATGGTATAAATGTTTCTATACCTATCAATACTTACCAGTGAAATGAAGTTTATAAAATAATCCCTCGTAAGAATAACATGTTTTCCGTATATTATTAATATACATTGATTAAACGCCAATATTAAAACCCTTCATGTGACGCGATTAGGAGGTCGTAGACTTTTATATTCAGTCACGTGATAGGTATGTACATTGGAACGTCTTGGCTTTTACTTCTCAAGGCCAACACGTGTGGCAGTTCCGTCCCAACGCCATTTTTCTTCATGCAGTGAGTGAAAGAACAACAAACTTATAAGGTCGGTGGAATTGCCTTGCCACTTAATTGTTTTCTCAAGTATATAAACCGTGTTTAGGATAAATATCAGTGCGTGTGAATCTTTCTTATCCGTGTTTCTAGTGCGTGTTTTGTTATAGTGCCATATTAAACTCAGTTTTACTTGAAAGGAGGTAATTAAAACTAACCTGTCTGAAGTTTAACTAGGCGAGTGTACTTGTTACGTTGAAATACGAAAACTGACACACTACAAAAATTTTAATTCTTTGAATTTAGGCAACTAACTGAAACATTAGCAAGTTTGTATGCAAATGGGATTTATCTCGTACTAAAGGAGTGTGGTAAGTACTATTGAATGAACTTAACATTATTGTTTCTACTCATTACCGGATTATTTTTCATGAAACGTGTTTATTGCGAATGATTACACAAATGTAACTTCTATTATCTTGAAAAGATGTGTCTAATGGGTTTGCATTTTAATTTTTGTCACTGATACTGGTACTCGTGCAGAGAGATATAAATATCAACAATTGTTTTGCTGTGATAAGGAGAAACATGCTTGAACATTGTGTTCCGTAACTGATTACACATAATATTCTTATTAATTCTTCTCAACCTGACTTTATAGCTATTGAATCTTCCACCCACTTTACCCAGAGGATCGCATCACCCCAATATCTACCCCAGGTTATTCCTAATTCGTCATTTTGTTATCACATCTTGTGGGGTATTCAGAAGTACAATTTTGAATCTCTACATCAAATTTTATATAAATCCGTCTCGTGGTTCTCGAATATATCCTACTAGACAGACGGACCTTAACAAGTCATTAGTGCAGAGGAATTTTTAGTGTACATGTTGAACACGTAACACCTGAATACGTAATAAGAAATCGAATATGAAAGATATTAACATGAGATAAATTTAAAATGTTACTAAAGTTAAAATAATCCGTATTTAAGTTTCACATTCTGACAGCTGAATCATTAAAGTAATATTACTATCAGCATTTACAGATTACTGTGCTCTAAAATATTATTCGTAAATCAGTTTCCATTATTTATATGACGTAATGACAGTTGTAATGTTGTTTTATTGTTTATTTATGAATTGTTGTGTATGGATGGGTGTGTCGCGCTCAAGGTTAACCACAGATTGCGGGATTTAGGAGAAGCGATTAACAGTTTGTAATCTTACCCAAAGACGTCGAGGTTGTTAACACCATAAAAAAGAGAAAGTTGGAATATTTCGGTCATATCATGAGAAACAGTGATAGATAAGGGCTGCTTCAGCTGGTAATCCAGGGGAAAGTATTCGGAAAGAGAGGACCTGGAGGCCAAGAATCTCCTGGCTTCAGAACCTAAAAACTTGGTTCTCGTGGAGGGCTGTTTCAAGTAGCAGCCAGTAAAGCTCAAATTACTATGATGATCGCCAACATCCGGAACGGATAGGCACTTCAAGAAGAAGGAAAATCCCAAAATATTTCTAGGATGGTTAAATCAAGCTGGAGCCATGTAGCGCGCATAGGTAAATAATTTCGTACAACATTTTGTTTGGAACTTCTAAAGGAGTACTTGGCATAAAATGAGAAGAATGTTGACAATTGCTTTAAGGTGAATGGGGTTTGGTGGTTTGGACTGCATTTGACTGGCTCAGGAGAGCGACCGGTGGCGGCCTCTTGTGGAAACAGTAATAAACCTTCGATTTCCTCAAAAAGAAGCAATTTTTCATTTCAATCCGACCAACTTTCAGATTCTCAAGAACAACTGCCCTCTATGAAGTTAGTTTTTTTATTGCAGTTTATAATTTAACGACGGTTTCAGTAAATCTGTCGCTTCGAATGGTACGATAATCAGTAATCAATGAAACGCAAAGTTTGTTAATGGTAACAGCCGTGGCTTAATTGGAAGAATCATTCGGGTAACTGGATTTCGCTGTCGTGTGGTTAACATTCTTTCTTCTTATGTGAGAGATCTCGCGTTCAAATCTTAGCCCGGATTCCGGATTTCGTGAATTTAAATTAAGACCATGATCGCTTTTTTATATTTATTTTTTATTTGTTGCGTGATACGACGCTGTATGCTCTGTTCTGTTGAAGTCTCGATAAATGAACCGCAAATAAATAAGTTCCCAATAATTTCCTGGGAGGGAAATTTATGAAAAATCTCAGAATAACTAATTTTGTGTCCAAGATTTGAACCTAGATATTTATAAATAAAGAAGCAGGAGTGATAAAGACTCGGCTCCATCGCTCGGTCTTTTTTATGTTGTTATTTGAACAAACATACTCATAACATAGTGATCTATGATGTGTTTTCGTTGCCGATTTCACGTAAACTCTGTGTATTCCTACTTGAATACAGAAGTCCCTAGATGGATAAAAACGTAATGTGGATATTGCAGTATTCCGGATCATAACATATCAGTCATTATTACGTATGACATTTAATACAAAATAAATTTTATAACGTAGTCTATAATTATTTGCTTTCGCAAATAAAAATTTACAATATCTGTAGTCAGAAATTCCCCTTTATATTTACTAGACATACATAAAGAAAGAAATCTGACTATAAAATGCGGATTATTTTAATTTTGGATCAAGCTAAAATTTTTAATATTTGTAGATATTGCTTATTGATGTAAGATCTTCGTTTGGTATAGGTTTAAAACTAGAGACATATTTCCTCATTGACTTAGCTGCAACTCAACGTTAATAGATCAGGTAATGAAGAAGATAGGGAAATTATTTGTTTATCGCCGTGCCTTTAGACAAAGTTTTCATGCTCTGGACCAAACTTTAGTTTAAAATTCTGCATGTCATTAGAGATTGGAGAAAATTAATAATTCTCGTAGCTGAAACAAATAATTTGATTATAAAGTTGTGACAGACTTGGATTAATCATAATAAATGCAAATGGACAATTAAAACAATTTTTTTAAACACTACTTGTAGTTTGAAATAGTGTTCCTGAATCTGAACCGAGGCACTTTCTTCACATTTATGGTAACGCAGACACTCTCCCTGAAATATAATTATTTATTAAATGGAATATAGACTAACGAAAATATCGATAGAAGGAAATGTTTCTTATGTTTTTACTCCAGTGTTGAAGGAAATTTGTGTTGAATATCTTAAAACCGACAGATATACAGCATATAAACAGAAATAAGACTAGAATCTATACAACCCGCAGACTTTAGACACAACGTACGGGTCCCCCAGCTGTGAATCAGTGGTTTAAAACACAATTAGCTGAAGAAGACGTAACTATTAATACAAAGGTTCCCTTCATTTTTAACAGGTTATTTTTACTGATGTCTGTTAGTGTCCAATTTTGAAGCGTACTCTGTAAAACACCACTGTAATCCATTAGAAAGTAACTCAAATTGTTTACACAACTGTAAACTCATTTGTTGTCAACTCATGCGTTATGCGATGACTACTGGCTCTGACAATTTGTTTGTTTCGCTTTTGTGATATCTGTAAATACACAACATTTGTACAAACTTGCAGTTACACAGGCGCTTATTTGATAAGACGAAAAATATTCATCGCCCAAAGATAACGGCCTTACGGGATGTTGCGCTATGTACTCTGGTAAGAGTTCAGTGACGTTTCACAGGTGTTTGCTGCCCTCGACATGTTGAGGTTTATCGACATGATGATGGAGGCTATAAGCACCTCGGTTAAAATCTATATTCCAGAGAACTGTCGTCTTCATATTCGCAGATGTGAGATCCTGAAATTTACACGCCATCTGTCTCGTGATTTTACTTTGATTGAGAATGTAGACTTTTCCATGATTACTGAAAGAGTATTTCGTATTTCTGGCTCCTCACTGCCCGAATATAATATAATATATCCGAATCCATTGTGGGCTTTAGTTCGAGAGCGAGTGTATCTGATTATTATCATGACGGCGTAGCACATGAGAAAGAAAGAGTAGTTTCGAAATTTAGCTTTCAGGAGTGATTGTTCGGGTGTAATTAGCATTTAATTTTTCTTCATGTTCAGTTTAAATCTCATGGGTCATTCTTACTCGAAACACTGAACATTAGTAGGCCTATTTTGTGTGTAATTATTTCTTGTTTTGTATGATTTGAACATGCGTTCTCATTTCCTGCAGAAAGAAAATACTACATTACATACATACTACGTAGTGTAATTCCTCTTTATTATTACTGTTAGTATCCATTGAAAAATCTTTATCTTGTAATTAGACAGTGTAGACTGTGCAACGTTCCTTACTATTTTTATATCCATAGTTTTCTTTCTTAAACTACAATTTCGAAATCTAATTTGGTTGAAGATAACTGTCTTCTACGTTGTTGCTTAAGTGTAGTCGAGTGAAGTTTACCGATGTTTAAGATGTGCTTGTGGTCTTCATCTTCAAGACAATCAGTTACTAAAACAAGTATCACGTACCTCTGAAACGTCTACAATTTTGTGCCAGAATGCACTGTTCAACTACCCAGAAGACAGGCATTTTATACTCGGTCCCTCGCGAATCTGAAATGTCCCTAATTTCAGTGGCTTTATGTACGAGAATTAGTCTCCAAGTTCACATTAATAACTTGTCAGATATGTCGGAAACACGAAAAATATAGCTGTTTTACTTCATAATATCATTAATGTTATTCAGCTGACTGTCTGAACGGTTTCTGGAAGTGTGTAAAGACAAGAATTAGAATATTAGTACTGTAAACGTCCCAGTTCAGTTCATATTTTCCATAGTTACATGCTGATCATTGATACATTATTATTACATATTATACGGAAACCGAATTATTAATCATAGACCATAAAGTGTCGTTGTGCATTTTAAATGGATTCCCTATAGTTAGCTTGTCAGTTAATATTATGCTACTATAGTATAATTTCCCTATCTTCATGTATAGTTATCAACAAGACGTACATTTGTTATGTGATATGGTCAGGAACATTTAGACGAAAGTGATCAGTAACTACCTGGAAAGTTTTACAAAATAGTTTGTGTTTTCACTGCTGTTTCATCCAAATTCTCAAATAAACTCTTACATGTAAGTTTTTATCGAGATTTTACTCGTATTCGTTTTACATACGATGCTTTCTGGATGCTGGAAACGAGTCTTTTCAAATGTTCTCTAAGGCATGTGTAGTATTATTCTGGCCCTAAATAATTTAATTAAAGGACGTATAGGTTATTTTGAATCTAATTTGGCTTGGTCACAGAGGAAATGTGAAAGACAAACGAATTTCTTGTCTCTGAGGCGTCTTAATGTTTAAACATTCTGAAACATTATGAATGTGAGTAGACCTATATCACACAGAATCACAAAGATGTGTATGAAATTT